ATCGGACGAATGGGACGATATTTAGTCTTATAAAAGTTCTTGGGCGAACTAAACATTGGACTACCTCATTCGGAATGGATATTTTGAGAATGTTTAACTGCTCAAGAACATCATTAGCCACTTTGGTTATTACACCTAAATAAACATTTAAAAAATGTGATTGATCCAATTATTTAGAATTATTATAAAGTAAGTACCTATAAGTTTATTTAAATTATTTTCACCATTATAATCATTAAAAATGTTTTCAAGGAGTCTTGCAGTCTTCAAAAAGTCATCTGAAGGATAAATTAAATTACCTAAAGATACACAATCTATCCAATTCTTTGTGGTTCTGTCTGAGTTATCAGTATTGCCTAAGTAAGGATATTTAAAATTAAACTTTCTCGCTACTGACCCAGTAACATATTCTATACAATCGCGTTCTATTGTTGTAAGTTGAGTGTTCAAACTATTTTTTAATACCTGTAAATAATTTAAACTCAAACTTCATTGATAATACATAAGTACCTATAATAATATAATATATGCATGAGTATAATGTATTACTTCTTGTTCAAAATTTTTCAATAGTTCTATACTTTCTTCTGATACTTCAATATTTGTTGTACTTCCGAAATCCGTCTCTAAATTAGCTAGCGGTTCATCCACTATATCATTATTAATAGTACTAATGTTTTTTAAGAAGTTTGCTTTTTTAAATGTAGATCCAGATAAACATTCAATTAAACAACTCTCAGTTGTATCTTCGGTGTTGTGATGCTCTGTGAATATCATATTTGAATGTTTACCTAGTAAATACCAGCGCAAACTGAAAATAAAATATTGGTAAGTATCTATCTATTCTGAATTAAAATAATTTAATTTTTAAACCAATATTTGAATTCTAGAGGTGAAATATGTGAATTTGATCCAACCATTCCTTTCAGGTAACTAAATGAATTCTCAACTACATCCGAATTGACTTTCCTTATAATATATGTGATATTTTCATAATCTTTTTTCAAATCTATTAACAGACTTTTTATCGAAGCATTTGTTACCAATATGCCTAGAAATGAATATGAAGTTGAATTGTTGTGTTGTATGCAATGTGCATATGAACTTAAGAAATATACCAGTTTGAAAAGGTAGTCTGCGATTACTCCCATGAACTTTCATATTTGTAATAAATTTATCCATTTTATCTAATAATGTATTTTGATTTTCTAAATCAAACCCGTAACTTTTTGTAAATCTATCTATAGGAAGTTGTGTGTTCATGAGATCGAACCAATCATTAAACAGCTGAACTACTTCTGAAGTCTATTAGTATGTATACATTAATGATAAATAAAATAAAATAAACTAATATGATAAAAATGAAAAAGTTATGAGTGTAATTTACAAACCTTTTCCCAATTGTTATTTTCTATTATTTTATTTTCACCACAATATTTGAGAGCTTTTGCTACACCATTAGAAAATAATTGGGCAGCCAACTTCACATTTTGTCTTAAACTTCCAGTCACATTTAGATGTTGTTCAGATAGTTTGTACGCAAGCTTAAAATCTGATGGTTTAGAGACTTTTAAATATTGTTCAATGATTTTTTTACCAATATAAACATCTTCAGGGAGAACAAATCCTTTATCTATAAAGTGATTCCTAGCTAGCTTGATTAAATGGGGAACATCAGCAAAAACATAAATCTTTTTATTTGTTACAGGATTATTAAAACCAGAAGAAGATGGACTTATCTTTAAGGTTTTCCATAGCCCTATGTTAGTGGGTCCCATGTCACTAACAATAGCGGCCACCTCAAATCCAACTCTATGCATTTCTGATATTATATTATATAAAATATCCTTGGTCATTGGTGTGTCAAAATCATAGAGGAGTGGTTGTTTCCACTGACTTAAAAGCCCTTAAAAAAAATTAATACAATTGTGTTACATAATACATTGTTGATGTGTAAAATAATGAAGTACAAACCCCTTGCCATAACTATTTGCACACTCTTATGAGGCCTAATAATTTGTTGTGTTTGCTCATCATAACAAATTTTATGAGAAACGTAAGTCTTATCGAAGGACATAACTGTTATTTTTTCATTTCGATTCATTGATTCACCTGTTAATAAATATTTATATCATTAATTAAGTATTATTATAAAACAAATTACATATCATAATTATAAAATCTAACCTTTAGACTTTAGCAATGTAAAAACATTTGACAATAAGCCTCTATCGACAGAAAAAGTAGCTGCCCACCGTCTCAAGGTTGAAAGACCTAGGTATATTTATAAATAATTTAATAAAATATACTACTTTTATCTTAATCTATTTATTCAGCACCTGGTAAAAGATATTGCTTTTTTTCCCGAAAATAGCGGTGACACACTTCTACTACTTCTTCTACACACTTTCTACTACGGTACTACATAATATTATATACAATGCCCCATGCATGTAGCATGTGTCACATAAAAATATACCTGGAGTTATGAAAACAAACCCCCTTTAATGTACTAATTATTTTTAACTATTTTGTTTAATTATGTATGTTTTTTCACATAAACATAAATTGCCTTCAAAATAAAAAGACAAAATAAATTTAAAATTGTAATTTTTTTTTAAGATAATATATATTTAGTAGGTACTTAATTTAGTTTATCAAAGATTTATTAAAAAAGTAAAGGAGTTAACTTCAATTATATTTTGATATGACACCAGTTGGCCACTTCCAAATTGAACTATATTAATATAATATATTATTAGTTTCTTAGTAGTTAGCAGTGGTGTGCCCAAGGGAGGGGGGGAGGTTAGGGGTTATATCCCCCCATTAGCTTTTTTTTGTTGACTTCAACTTATTAGATATTACCATAGACATATAAAAATGTTTATTATATATTATATAATTGGATATGGATATTACTTTTAAAATTATCAGTAATAAATTATTGCCCATTGGCTAATTTAAACATTCACTATACGGACGGGCGGTTAAATTTTCGTTTGGAATAATTAAGTTATTTTTAAGAATTATTTTTCTTTTTTATATTAATTATTTTAATAAAGGTTATAAATGTTTTTAGTTTAATGTTGTCATTTTATTTAAACAATAGTGTATAGTGACTGGCTATTTAAATTAATTCTAATTGTAGAACGATACTCAATGTGCATGAATGTACATATGTTTGGCAATTTTTGTGTTTGGATAATCATGTTTAATTTAAATGTACTTTTACTAAAAAATGTATAACATATTAACATATATCTCCCCCATTGAAATTTTCTGGGCATGCCACTGGTAGTTAGCGTACATGCACATATAAATATATAATATAATTTAACATAACACATTTGCCTGAGTGCCTGACAATAAATGCTGCATATAATATTTATATTTGAATACTAATTTCATCTATGTATAGGTCACAACAACAAAAATGCCAACAATTAATATTTTTAGTAAAAACACACAAAGCTAACAACTATTTTTGGTTATTAATAATATACATTATACCTTGAAATTTCTTTTTCAGCCTCGTTATACCTAAATAATTACCAATAATTAGCATTTATATCTGTATTAATCTATTAATAACTTCATTAGGCTATTATTTTACTTGGTCATTATTTCTGAAGGAATAATTTCAATATTCTCAATGTCATCATTTTTTGTAACACTGACATTATTTTTTATAGATGAATTCAACCCACAATTGTATCTTAAACAGAATAATATTGTTTAATTAGTTTATTTAATTTTGTTTGGCATTAGGGCTAGAATATAATTCATTAAAAATTATCTAAACTATCATCTAAAAGGTCTTGGTCTTCATTAATTTCTATAAAAAAATTTGCTTCCAAAATAAAAAAATACTAAATTAAAATAATTACAATTTTACCAGAATCGAATAGAGTTCAGTAAGTTTTGGGTCCTTTAAACCAGTGGTTCTCAACCGCCGGTCCGCGATTAAAGAGATGCCGTTCCGTATTGTATTGTTATCTGAACTATTTTTAGTATAGTGTTGGGAATTTTATAGTATATTATATTACCCGTATACTATCGCACCAATTTGTTTCGTATCTACATTATTGATTCGGCTTTCAATTGCAAGTGTGACGTCGCGGCGGTACTACGTTTATTCTGTTTAATAAAAATGAATTCTAAACAAACGAACTTATTGAATTTTTACAAAAAAAATAATAATGATATTGCCACTAGTTCAGTTTCGGAATCCGTTGATGATATCATTGAACCACCAGCTAAGAAGAAAAAAGGTACATTTGTTCGTAATTATAATGATGATTATATTAAGTATGGATTTATTTGTTTTTCTTCTGGTTCTAACGACATACCGAAACCACAGTGCGTATTGTGTTCTGTGATTTTATCTAATGAAGCAATGAAACCTGCTAAACTTATTCGTCACTTGGAATCAAAGCATAAAGAATTTAATAACAAACCTACAGACTTTTTTATTCGAAAAGGTAAAGAGTTAACGGCTCAAAAAAAAGTTATGTCTACCATTTCTAAGGTTAATTACTCATTAGTTAAAGCATCTTATCTGGTAGCATTTCGTATAGCCAAATGAAAAAACCGTATAATATCGGTTAAACTTTAATTAAACCTTGTTTACTTGATGTTACTAGTGAACTTTTAGGGCCTTCCGCTGCTAAAAAAATGAATGATTTACCTTTATCTAATGACACGATTTCTAGAAGAATAAATGATATTTCTGTGGATATCGAAGAACAAAATTTAATTCGAAATGGTTTTCAATACAACTTGACGAATCAACTGATGTATCTCAAAAAGCAATTTTGCTATGTTACGTGCGTTTTATTGATTTTCAAACATCAGAATTGTGTGAAGATTTATTGTGTTGTTGTGAATTACCTTCACATACTACAAGGAGTGAAGTATTTAAACGATTAAATGAATATATAAAAAAAATCCAACTAAACTTTGAAAATTGTGTGTCTGTGTGCACGGATGGTGCCGCAAGTATGACCGGGAAATATTCTGGTGTAGTTTCCAGAATTAAAAATGTAGCAAACTTACATTTTGTTCATATACATTGCATTATACATAGACAACATTTAGTTGCGAAAAAAATGTCACCAGATTTGAATGAAGTATTGACTGAGGCAGTAAAAATAATTAATTTTATTAAATGTAATGCCTTAAATTCTAGATTATTTTTAATTTTATGTGAGGAAATGGGATCTGAACATTCTCATTTATTGATGCACGCAGAGGTTCGGTGGTTATCCCGTGGTAGAGTCCTGAATAGATTTGTTGAATTAAGAAAAGAAATTGAATTATTTTTAATTCAAAAGAAAAGCAATTACATTTCAATTATTCAAAATACTGAATGGATCGCAAAATGTATTTATTTATCTGATATTTTTAACTTAATAAATACCCTTAATTTAAGTTTACAAGGTCCACTCACAACAATTTTTACCATGTTAAATAAAGTTTATGCATTTAAAAAAAAATACAGTTGTGGATAACGCGTATTCAGGAAAGAAACTATGAGATGTTTGAATCTTTTTCATTATTTATAGAAACTAAAGAGTTAGACATCGATAGTAATATCAAAATAACTATCGAAAATCATTTGCAATCATTGTATGATACGTTTGAAGATTATTATCCAGTGAATCAAGATCCACGAGACGGATATTTATGGGTACAAAATCCATTTTTAACAAACTCTCAACATAAATTGTGTTTAAAAGAACAAGAACTTTTGTTAGAGATATCATCAGATATTGGTCTACAATCTAAATTTAAAACAATGTCTGTTACCAAATTATGGATTGAACTCAAGGACGATTATTACGTGCTTTTTGAAAAAGCAATGAAAATTCTTCTTCCATTTTCTTCGACATATCTGTGTGAAGCTGGATTTTCCGGAATGACCCACATAAAAACCAAAACTAGAAATAGGCTCGATGCCACACATAGTTTACGTGTGCCTTTGACAACTACAGTGGAACCAAGATTCGATAAAATTGTCAAAACAAAACAAGCACAACGCTCTCATTAAAATGTAACATTTTCTTCGACATATCTGTGTGAAGCTGGATTTTCCGGAATGACCCACATAAAAACCAAAACTAGAAATAGGCTCGATGCCACACATAGTTTACGTGTGGCTTTGACAACTACAGTGGAACCAAGATTCGATAAAATTGTCAAAACAAAACAAGCACAACGCTCTCATTAAAATGTAATATTTTATTTATAAATATATTGTTAAAAAATAATTTAAAATGTAATATAGTAATAACCAAGATTCGATAAAATTATCAAAACAAAACAAGCACAACGCTCTCATTAAAATGTAATATAGTAATAACCAAGATTCGATAAAATTGTCAAAACAAAACAAGCACAACGCTCTCATGAAAATGTAATATTTTATTTATAAATATATTGTTAAAAAATAATTTAAAATGTAATATAGTAATAAGTATATAGTAAAGTAATAAAAATGAACATGTTTTGATTAATTTTGTGTATTCTTGTTGATGAACAAAAAAAAGGTCTTCGTACAATTAAGGTGGTCCGCGACCTATAAAATATTATCGAAGTGGTCCGGGGTAGTAAAAAGGTTGAGAACCACTGCTTTAAACTGTCATCACAAATTTCTATAAACAAATATAGGTATTCTAAAATAAAAAATTCTTAATTTAAAAAAAAAAAATTAATTTACCAGCATCTGATTGAACTTTAAAATCAAGATTTTTGATTTTTGGACTTGGACCATGTACATTTATTGTTGAAATAGCATCTAGTTTTAATTTTCTTTTATGACGGGGAGAATATTCTAACAATTTTTCAATTAAAGATTTTACATAACAGTTCTCCTCAAAATGAGTTGAATAGATTCTAGCTAGAATTTAGGAGCAATAAAATTATGGTTTAGCCTTGACAATATTCTTTTTTTTTTCAATTATTTTCTTACTATTTATCAAAGCAGAAAATTTATATATTATAATAAATACTACCTACCACGGTTTAAGATAGACAGGTTGCGCATCGACGTATGTTAAGCTTACTGACCAAGTGACTATGCATGGTACCAGGGTTGCCAGATATACCAATAATAATGTAGCCAAATCATTTTTTTATAGTAGCCAAATATCGCCAACCATATATTCTAATTATTACCAAAATTGTTATCCCTACTCTTATCATCACCATTTTACCCCTTCTTTTTAAAACTGGACAGTTGGACTCGTAATTTAAAATAAAAGTATTGACACATTCGTTATTCGGTGTCAATTTCATTGTAATCAATATTCACCCATGTGATGGTAGTGAGTAATAACTAGTACGATAATAAGGAGCTGTAAATAGTTAATAATTAAATAGTTTCATAATTTAAACAATTTACTTAAGTAAAATAAACAATACCTTTTCAAAATATTTTGTACTACTTTGTACAATATTAATAAAAAATAACATTATTTTCATTAAAAAAAAAAAATAAAAAAAAAAGATATAGGTAATACAGTATCTTTTCAAAATATGTTGTACTACTTAGTACAATATTAATACAAAATAACATTATATTCTTTTTAAAAAATAAAAATAAAAATAAGTAATATATTATAATACATGTAGGTACCTATCAAGTTTCTTGTTAATATTGGTTGTCAGATAATGTAATTTCATAAAACACATCTATAGTATTATCTTCATCGGTACAATGATCTTCAAAACTTGGAACAGATTCATTTTCATGTTTTGAATACATAATATTGGAATTAAATTTCTCGTACATAGACTTTGTGGGTGAAAATTCAATACAACATTTAGTCTTTGATGTAAAAGTACTTCTAATTCTCAATAAGCTATCCAACATAGAAAAGTTCATTCTATTTCTAGATCGGGTTTTAATAGCATTCATTATTGAAAATACCCTTTCAACAACTGCATTGCTTGAAGGTAGACATAATACTTTCAGTACAAACTCAGATAGATCTCTAAAAATGAATGATCCACCAGCATCTTTAAAAAAATATAGCTTAGCCCAGAACGCATAACTATCATCTAACTCTTCTTCAGATAAATGAAAAGACCAATTTATATTTATGATGTTTTCCCATTGTACTTCTAAAGATGAAAACATAGATGGTTCAAGAAATTGATGAATAAATGGTAAATTGGAAAATTTTGTATGTAATTGATTGAGGCATTGTTTTGGAGAAAAATACTGAAGTTTTTGAAATAATTTTAAATTATCTGGAAGTCTTTTGTCTAATTCAAATAATAAAGCTTTTATAAATGACAGTGCTTTAACATCAACAACATATTTAGTATCAGATACAATTTTAAGTGTATTTATTACTTGATAGTACTGTATACCAAAATTACATTTATCTGCTGGAAGATAAGCAGTTTCATTAGATATGTTTTGTCTAATACTGTTAAAATCAGAGGAAGTGGAAGATATTTTCATTATTTTTTTTGCTAAAAACATAAATAGTCCACATATATCATCATACGATTTTCCAATGTCAACAAAGTTTTTTTGAAATGTTAAATTCAACCTATTAAACTCTTCTAATATTGGCTTTATTATTATAAAATATAAATAATTAATGTCATCATGAAACATTTCATTCAAAACTCGAGCAATATAACATTTTTCTTTTTGAACAACATATGCAAAATGTGTTTTTAATTCCAACCAATGCTCTAAAATTGTATTAACGACATAGGAACGAGCTAACCATCTGGTACCGGACAGTTGATGAAATTGATGGAACTTTTTATTTTTACCGTTAGAATTTGTATTTAATAGGTCAAATGTGTTTTTATATTCTGCTCTTCTTAATGGACTAATATGAAACCAATTAAATACTTCTCTACAGATGAAATCTATGTGGCTTGGAAATGCATCAGCAGCTTTGGAAATGGCATTATTCAGAGAATGACAAATGCATCGAACTATTTGTAAATTAGGAATTTGTTGTCTAAGTAGAGTAAAAAGAGAATGGTTTCTACCACATAAGTTACTTGCGCCATCAGTTCCAATCCCAACCAACTGTTTTAGATTTAAGCCTATACGATCAATATATTTACAGATATGTTCATACAATAAATCGGCTGTACATTTTTCCACTTCAATTAAGCCTAAAAATTGAATTTTAATTTTTTGATCCTGAACACTAAAATATTTAATGCATAAACATAAATATTTGATTACAGACACATCGGTAGACTCATCCACAATTAACGAAAACGGATTTCCATTACAATCGTTTACAACATTCTCTAGTAAAGAAGGGCCAATAACATTTTTTATTATACTAGAACATTTTGTGCGATGCATTTTCAAATTTGTCAGAGGAGAACCTTTTCCTATTGATTTTAAAATATCTGCCAAATGGTCCATATTCCTTATAGAAGAATGGGTCGCTACATAAAGTGCCAACTTTAGGTCAATTTCTTTTTGTTCATTTGTTATAATAATAATGTTACTCATTTTACTTTGGCTAGATTCTGGAACTATCATTTTCATTTTTGCCATATGTAATTTGCCATTACCATGTTTTTTTAGATCAGTCTGATGGGCTCTCAGAAATGATTTACAAACTTTACAATATGCTTCATTGACATTATCTGCATCTTTGTCTGCTTCACACAACCAACCTAAACCAATATTATCCAAAAAGCATAAATATAACGTTGGTCTAAGACATAATGGTATAGTTAATATTATTTAAAAATAAAAAATGTATTTATGACAAATACCTACAAGTAGGTACCTATGCAGCCTTTTAAAATAATGAACCTATTTTAATATATTATTTACCTTGAGCCCATGAACACTTTTCCCATTCTTTCCGATAATTTCTCAACTTTGCATTTTTTGCCTTACCCATTCTATACGTTTTAATTACCTACTCAATTACACCAATATTAATTGTCACTTGTCAGCAGTTCACGGATAATAATAATATTAAATACTACATGATTTTCATATTATAATCAGTGATCAAATGTTGAAATGTAACTATGTTAATGGTGTAAACTGTTTATTGTAGTCTGCAATTTTAAAATACTTATTATTATTGGTCGAATCAGATAACACCGAACCACAAAGTACAATAAAATCATAATTCATAGAACATAGAAAGTCTAAATAATTTTCTATGATAGTAAATAATAAAATGCAAGGTGGATTAATTGCTGGATGGAACACAGTACACACTATCAATTTTCGATGTTGAGCTCCAAAGCGGTGATAAAGTTCGGTAAGGCGCCAAAACATCGTTTTTTGTTGATAACATATCATTGATAACTCACTAATCACCACAGTTTAAATCATAGAACATCGTAATTCTATAGTACCGCTTACCGCCTTATAAATAAATAATAATAAATAATATTTATACAAATCTATTGACTTAAAATTTGAAAAAAAAAAAAATGTTTTCTTGTTTTTTTGTATGAGAAATCTGATATCAAAATGTAGCCAATTTATAGCCATTTT